TATGAAATAATTAATTTAAAATATAATTTTATTAATTAAATATAATAATTTCACAATTCTATACAATTTGATTATAAATTATCAAATTAATTGATCACAAATCAGAAAATTTATAAGTCACAAATTATTTTACAACCACAAATAAAAAATTTTTTAGTTCACAATTTATTTATTTGTCACAAATCAAAAAATTTATAGATCAGAATTTATTTATCAATCACAAATAACAAATTTTATAAGTCACACTTAAAATTTTTATGTGCCATAATATTTATTAGTCATAAGTTATCGGTCACAAGCTATTTATTAATCACAAAACAATCAATTTATTGGTCACAAATACTATTAATCCCACCAACTATATCGCCCAACTCTAATCCACCGTGACACTAACCGAAAGCGGTGCCACCTCACAACCATCGCTAGCGCCGCCCCCACCACTACCACTAGCATCGCCAACAAACTACCATTTTCAATTTCAAAACACCACTGACATTGACAAATCCACCACCATCACGAAACGACAAACCCACCATCATCGCACCGCACCACCGTCGCTATCGCGCGAACCATCGGCCACCATAAATCGTCGAAGAAACACCACAAATCGGAGAAAATTTTAGATTGTCGGTGCGTTCGACGATCTGTGACCAACTTAGATGCAAAGTGCAATACCCTGGTACAGATCGTGGTAGAGATGCTGCACAGTTGTTGTGCTGCGCAGTTGTTGCGCCTTCGCGCATAGAAGCTCCGATGGGGTATGTATCGCGGCGAGGCATGGTACTATAGCGCGGCGTTGCGCAGCAACTACGCATCCCGCGCGCAGAGGCTTCGATCTCCTCTTCATTACAACACCACCTCGTTGCTTCTTACGCGATGACGAGGCATGGTGTCTTGGGGGATAGATCTTAAGGTTTGGGGTTGGGTGAGAATGGTTGTTAGTTGGGGGTAGGTTTTTATTTATTTTTTTAAATTAAAAAAAAATATTTATAAGCTGATTTTTGGAAAAGAAAAATAGCTATTAGTTGGGGGTAGGTTTTTATTTATTTTTTTAAAATTTAAAAAAATATTTATAAACTGATTTTTGGAAAAGAAAAATAGTTATTAGTTGGGGGTAGGTTTTTATTTATTTTTTTGAAGTTGAAAATTAAAATGTAGATGTGGACGTAATTTCCACTAAAATTATTTAGGGTCCGTTTGATTGCAAATGTGGAAAATGGATAGAAAGAAAATGTTTTATTGGGAATTGAATTACTTAAAATTTGTTTTGCTGGGAATTGTAATTAATTGTGTTTGATTGGTATAATTTTCTACCTGGAAAATATTGAAAGTTTGGTGTCCGTTTGACTTCGTTTCTTATAAAAATTGTCCATTAAAGTGATAATTTTTCTACCAATATGTCTAGAATTTGTTCTAATTACCAAAAAGTAAAAAAAAAATTAAACAATTAGAAAAAATTACCATATTCGTTTGACTTTGTTTTACATAAAAATTGTCAACAAAAATGAAAATTCTTTTTACAATAGTAGATAGAATTGGTTGCCTTTGCTAAAAAAATGTGGAAAATGTTTTCCCAACTAATAGGTGGGAAAACAAAATAAAG